AGACCCACCCCCAAATGACCAGGGATCCCAGGACTCTGGGCTACCATATGGCCACATTGCCATATTCCACAATGCCTCTTGGGTCTCAAAACAGAGAGAGAACAAAGCCTGTGAGTTAAAGACTTTCACTGAAATTGCCAGACCTTTCGGAGATCATGGTGAGGCCACCCAAGTGTCACCACCCCTCCCTGAGGCTTGGCTGTTCGTCCTCTTCCAAATGTTTGCTCTCTTTCTGTCTAGCTTCCTTCAGGTCCAATGAAATTCTTTGAGCCCCTAGGCCTGCTGGCTTGTCCTTATTTGCATGGCTAAGTAACCAACACCTCAGACGGGCAGGAAGCCAATGAAAACAAACCCTCTTCTATCCTAGGTACAAAGGATGCTTTGCATAAAAGATTTCCATTTTAGGTAGAAGGTGGGAGGTGGGAAGAGGTGCCCATAGGCAGGTGTGCTTCCTGTCACTTCCCAGCTCACTGCTTCTAATTCCACCTTTCCCATGCAATGAAGTTAGCCTGGAACAGGGCCCAGGTTGGCACGAGGGAAGGAAAAATATTATAGGACCTAGTGCTATCTGGGGGAGAGTCTCGTATCCAAGAAACCTAGTTCCCTCTGCAAAGCGACTTGGGTCACAGGCCTTGCTCTGTGGAGAATTTAGGGGGCTGGGCAGCAGGACACAGGCTGAGAGTCCAGAATGGAAGAGAAAATCCCCAAAGACTTCAGAATGCTAGCCTCTGTGTTCTGTTTTCACGAGGGCTCGGAGAGGAGAGGCTTAGACCTAGGGACTGAGACTGCAGCCTCAGTTTCTTATTCTTTAACTGGCCCCTTGTGAACCAGTTAGCAACTCCCAGCGTGCCTCGGGTGCCTCGCCAAGTGGCTGGAAGGCCCTGCACCTACGTGGGGCGCCCACACTTACAGCCAGGTTGATGGGAAAAGAAAGGGTTTGTGTTTGTATGTTAACCTATTCTGGAACCTTTTATATTGAAAAAAAGTTTAAATTGAAGTCACTGTGCATGTATACACCTGTAAGTTTTTCTTCTAAATACTGTCTCCTTTACTGCGGTTTGAGGCAGGAGGGGTCAGGTAGAGCAGAAGTTGGGAGGATGGGGCTGGAAGGGATGAGAACTTGTAACTTGTAGGGGCCGGCCCCGTGGCCGTGTGGTTAAAGTTCCACGCACTCTGCTTCGGTAGCCTGGGTTCATGGGTTCAGTTCCCGGGTGCGGACCTACACACCACTCATCAAGCCATGCTGTGGCAGCATCCCACATACAAAATAGAGGAGCATAGCCACAGGTGTTAGCTCAGGGCTGGTCTTCCTCAGCAAAAAAAAAAATAAAAATAAATTTAAAAACTTGTAATTTGTAAGTGCCAAATCCATCACTTATCACATGTGGAAAACAATTATGCGTGTGCCAGGCCTGGCGTGTGTGCACACACGAGTGCATGCGTGTATGTGTGTATGGGTGATGTACTGAAAGATCTAGCCTGTGTCTGGCATGTTGTGGAAGCTCCGTAGACGGCAGCCTTTGTTCTTGGCTAGGAGAACAGTGAAGGCAGAATGAGTCAGAGGAGGCTTTGGGAGCAAATATTTAGTTAGGATTTTTTCTTGTTATTAATGAGAGAAGCTCAACTTGGACTAGTTTATGGAAGGAAGAGAGGATCAAAGGAGTAGATGGCTCGTGCGCTCAGACTGTGGGCAAGGCTGGTGCTGGCTCTGGGGACGGCGGGAACGAGGCATTCTCCCTCCTTCTCTCATCTCTGCTCTCCTCTGTGTGCTGATGTCTTACTCCATCCTCCTGTCTCCATGAGGTGGGAACCTTGGCCACAGGTAGCTTCGGGCTTACAAACTACAGCTTCAGGACCAGGGAGGAAAAATAGCTTTCCCGTAACTCCAGTTAGAAAGATCTCAGGAAAGACCGGGATTGTTGCCGGCTAGCACAGCAAGAGGGACGTGCATTGGTCTGGCTGGGACAGGGTGCATCCTGCGTCCAGTGATTGGCAGCTTCCCCAAGAATCACTGGGCAGAGCAAAGCAGACCATACTCTCGTCTCTCCCTGGTGGGCGAGGTTCTGGAGCTGGGCCTGGGGGTCCAGGGAGGACTTGCATGGGGGTAGGGAGGAGGGCTGCATTCCAGTCAGGGAAGGAGAGCAGGTGCAGACTCTGGGACACGGCCGTGCTGGGGGACAGGGTGCTCAAAGCAACAACACTGATTTCTTTGTAATAAAATCCATACTTCTCTACCACAGCTTCTTCAACAGGTCCTGGATGCGTTTCCAGTTTCCCGGTGGAGGCGAACCCTCCGTCCTTGACCTCTGGGCTTCCCTCCTGGCCTGGACCCTCAGGAGATGGCGACAGCTTCTAAGTGTCTGGAAAGTGCTTATTTCCTCCATCGATGACATTCCTAGTTTTAAAAGTTCCTTTGCTTTCTAGAGGTTTTTTTTTTTTTAAACATAGCTATTTTTGATGAAAATATAAATACCCACCGCTCTGACTGGAGAGACAGCTGCAGGCTCCTTCGTGAGCACAGGCCGCTCCTCCTCACATTACTCTCCACGGAGCCATATCCCTTCTGGGGGCCTGAACTCAGCCCCGGGGGGCCGGGAGCCACTCACTCAGGGGCCATTCGGGCCTCCAGCTTTGTCACAAGGACCCTCAGGGCCACAGGCCACAAGGGCAGCTGCATGGGTGTGCCTCACAGAAACCGGGAAGGGGGTGGGCACTAAAGTATCCAGGGCACTCTGGGCCCGGATGTGCTGTTGCCCCTGAGCCACGGAAGTGTGTTCCCCTCGCGTGACTGGCCACTGCTCTGTCTCCTCTTTTTGGGTCTCCCCCCTTCTCCTGCTACCGACCAAGTGTCCGTCTCAGTAATTCCTGCTTTATGTCACAGTGTGAGAAGATCTCAGTGACCCGGCTGGTGGCCGTCTCCCAGTTTGGCAGTTTTCCTTTCCAGCGCCTCCTGGGCCACTGGCCAGCTGGGGTTTGGGGGCAGGTGGTGGGGCTGGGGGAGAGGAGCCGTGTGAGCAGGATGCCACCCTGCTCGAGGCACTGCCCAGGCCCGCTGCCACCTGGGCAGGTCTGTCCTCCCTCCCTCTCTCCCTTCATTCCATTCTTCTTTTCCACAAACTGGTTCAAGTTGAGTTTCTCTCACTAGTAGCAACAGCAAATCTTAGTTAAGTTCTTGCTCCCAGGAGCCCCTGTGCCCCAGGTTTGTGTCCCCCTCCTACTCTGGAGGCCATGCACCTTCGGGATGGATCCAGGACCCCATCTGAAACCCACCGGCAGCCCTCCCATCCCCACTCACCTCCTGTCTTCCCAGCACAGCCTCACGCCCCGCTTCTTGTGACTGGCCCCAGGAGAGCATGGACCCCTCTCAGAGCCTGGGGCCTGGGGGTGCATGGGTTTCTGGGGAGCCGGTGCCTTTGTGTTTGTCACAGACCCTTCCCTCTGGGTCTGAGGACAACTTTCTTGGTGGGGGACACTGTTACTCACCCTCCAGGAGAGGCATTGGCTTGTTCAGCCACACCACCCTTCCTGGGGCTGAGTGGGTGGGGGCTGGGAGAGGAGAGGAGATCTGGGGGCATCCGAGGGTTCCTTCTCTCCCCGTGGCAGCGCTGGAGGGTGCTGCTGACTTCATCTCCCATGTGCCTTCCCGCCAGCCCTCTGAAGCCAGACAAGTGCAGGAAGAACTCTCCGGCCAAGAGCCTTCCTGGCATAATCTGAGCACAGTAAATAACTGAAAGATGCACATGACTGAGAAACGCTCCCTGGGCTGTCTGGGCGACCCTGATGTGCTTTGGGTTGTTATGACGCCTTGACCTTTGAGTCCTGGTTTTAGCGATGACTGAAGTCAACCCTTGGCACAGGTGCCATTTGTGGGGCCTTGAAGGGGTCACTTTGGTTGAGCTTGGATTCTCACCAAAAGGATGGACATTGAAGTGGATTCATTCTTTTGGACAACGACAGCATTGAGGCCCTTGAGATGGCAGCATTTCTCAAGAGACAGGCCAGCACTCCTGTGTGCAGACCAAGATGGCGGGTCCCCAAGCGTCCTGGGCTGACATGAGGAAAGGGTAGAGGTGGGGCCTTGCCCTTGGGGGGTGAGTCGCAGGGCGGTCCCTGGAGACTTGCCTCCCACAGCAGCCTACACTGCACGCAATGCTGAGATGCAGGCTCCTGGGAGACCCCAGCCTGTGCTCCTCCCACCTGTGGAATCGGATGATTTGTTCCGTCAACCACGCCACAGCGCTGAGCAACACGGAGCTGCCTGTCAAACGCCCCATGGGCCGGAGGAGCAGGGGCCTGCCTTATCCCCAGCACAGCCCTCCACTGAGCGCTGTCCAAGTTCACCTTGTTAGACCGCCTCTGCCTGTCAAGAGTTTTTTGAATTCTGATTTGTTCGCTGAACATATTTAGTTCCCTTCATCCATGAATTTGATAAGCTCTCTAGGTCTTCATCCAGTTATTGAAGAAAATGTGGGCTGGGCCATGGACTGTGCCTTGCCATTCCCTCCAAGGTGGCATCCATTCACCCAGCCCCTTGTCATAGCTGAACAGCTCGTTGTTGACTTATGTCCTCCTAAACGCTCTTCCCCAGCCTGTCATTTACACAGGAGACTTCAGCAAAGATGGCAGCACACACATTTTCCTCATCGACCAGTCTAGCCATCAAGAAAAGGAAATGAGTTTCATCTGCACACTTCTGCTCGGTGACCCAGTCTGGGTCCCGATGCTGGACGGAGGGTTGCCCATTCCCGGCTGCACCGGCCCAGATCACCAAAGATGTGGGCCTTTGAGGAATGACTTGTCCAAGGCTCCCTGGAGAAGAGAAGGCGGGAAAAGAAGGTCTGAAAGGAGACCAGGCCCCCTTGGGGGAGGGCAGCCTTCAGAAGGGGAAGGATGCCGACCGTGGATGCTACAGAGAGATGAGGAGGAAGGCGTTTCAGGAATAGTCAGAGATCTGTCCAGTTACGAAAATGAGACGACGCAGGGACTCAAAAAGCCACCAGAAAGGTCACATGAATGTTTATTACATAGAAAAAGAGGGAAGGGAAGAAAAGGTTTCCAAAGCCATACTTCCAGGATTTAAAAAAAACACAACCATGGAATGCCCAAGAGAATGGCATGCTTAGTATATTTATAATAGGAACGCGTGTGTCTATATAAATATGTACATGGAGCTATGTACACGGGTTTTTACTGTCATCCATGGTACCTTTCATTACATGTGCAGTAACAGTGCTCAAGTTATGAATTTTAAAGCTGACAGAACGCTGGAGAAATTGGAACCCCGCACAGCGCCTAGAGGGCACTGTGGAGACCCCGGTGGCCGCGGCTGGTGGCGAGGCTGGGTCCCCAGGGCTCCGGGAAAGCTAAGCTGTAGACAGGCCTGGGTGCCCCCCTGCAAGGTTTGGGCCAGGACAAGTCTGGAAGCTTCTCTGGGCTCTGGACATTAAAGTTTCTTTCTCTCTTGGAACCAAGGAAGGCTCCAGTCATTGGAAGGGGCTGGAAAGCCCCTTTGGCTGGATTGGATCCTGGGGGAAGCAGGTGGGGGTGGGTGGGCTCCCAGTGAGTCTGGGTAGAAGTGAGACCAGAAAGTCCTGGAGTACCAGAGAGTGGGTCTCATCAGAGAACAAAAAAATGTACAGCGAGTAATTCAACGGAGAGAAGAGAGACCCGGAGAACGCCAATTACGGAATCAAAAAACTGCAAATCACAACACAACACTCATCCATATGTAAGTTCAGCGGATACACACAGAACCAGTCTTGTTTTTGTGTATGTTGTTTAAAAAAAAATTGGCACCATGTACAACAGCATGGAACTTGGCCTGTGAACAGGGCCAGTCAAGTGCTCCCATGGGTGCCCAGGCCGGTTCCAGCCAACATCGCCCTCTCCCTGTGCTGGACATCCAGTCAAGCGCGAATCTAGAAAACGGGGTGGACATGACCTCTGTCCCCTTCTCTCCTCACTGGTTCCTGTACTGGGGCAGGTGGAGGGCTGTGGGGACAGAAAAGGACCTCAGAAGAGAGCCCTACGAGAGCTTAGAAAGAGCCCACCGTCCCCTCTTCTCTGGGCAGACCCACCTCGCCCTCCCACAGAAGGCCAAGCTGGGGTGTGGGGGATGAGCACAGCCGGGTTTGTGGAGTGGGGATGGTGACCCCACAGACCCTGGGAGACCAGGGGCCCTAGAGAGAGGAGACAGTGTGTGCATCCAGGCCCAGGGTGGGGGTGACGAGGGCAAAGAGTGCCACCAGCCAGAGCCCATGCCGGAAGGAGACGGCTCCTGGACTGGGTTGCGGGTTCCTCTGGAGATGTTCAGTCCCAACCCTGAGTCCCAGAGAGACCCTGTCCCCCTTCACCCAGAGGTCACAAGGGTTGGTGTGTGCGTGTGTGTATGAGTGTGCATGTCAAGAGAGTGCGTGTGCACAGGCACGTGTGCGACTGTATGCACACATATGTGTGTGTGAGTGTGCATGTGTCTGTGCTCCTGCCCACCGGAGGGTGCAAGAGTGGAGGCTGGACGGTAGAGTCTGGACCAGCCTGGGCGGTCGGCGTTTTGGCAAGTCCAGGTGGGGATGGAGAGCACTTGGGATGGGGATTTCACAGCTAAATCCAGAGCAGGAGACAAGTGGCACTGGAAACTCAGGACACACACAAGTGGGACCCCGTGGTCAGCCTCCCGCTCTGACAGGCTGGGGTGGGGGAGGGGTGGGCCCGGGAGGGGGTCGGAAAGGGGGCCAGTGTTTCTGTTTTACTGGAAGGAGGCCTGGCCTCCGGGTCATGGGGCCTGCACGGAGGGCACAGTCTTTCCCTCTCCTCTCCCTCCTCCTCGTCCAGACAGGCTTGTCCTCAGCCCTTTGCTTTGAGGAAATGGGGAAATGATGCCTGCCAGGCTGCTCTCTCTTCCCAGCCTACCTGTGGTTCCCAGAGCCTGAGGCAGCGGAGCGACAGGCTACACTGAGGCTGGCACTCGCCCCAGGCTCGCAGGGCATTCGGGGTCACCAGAGCGGTTTATCCCATCTCCTCATGGGATTTAGGGAGGACCCACAGGGCTGAGCGTGAGCTTCCGTGCCTCTGTGGCCCAGGAACAGTCTGAGGCTCGAAGAATCCAGCAGGAAAAGAACTGGTGAGAAATACAGGGCCCCGAGCATCGCCCACCTGCTCAGGCTGCCCTCAGCCTCCCTTCCCTGACAGCCGGCCTCCTGGTCTCCCAGGACACACGCAGAGCTCTCTGAGGGAGGCGGTCCAGTCCTGGTCCTCGGAGAACCATCTCCCCTCTCCTACCTCGGCTCACCTTGCTATCTCACCCATGTGTGGGGGTGGGGGCAGGGTGGGGGGTGCGGGCCGGGCTGGATGTGATGGCCGTCGAGGGCACTGCTGCCTTCCAGGAAAGCAACATCTCTGATCTATTTCTCCGAGGCCACGTCCAGGACCTGCGTGGCCCAACCAGTGCCCACTGAGAGCCTGGTGAATACACAGACACAGAACAGGGAGCCCCTCCTGTGAGGACTGCCTGAGGCCAGCACGGTTGGGGGCGGGGGGGACACGGGGACACGACTTTATAAAAGTGCTCATCCACCCCCAATCGCTCTGTTGAAAGCCCTCCAAACCAACCAGCAAGAGGGAGTAATAATAACAGTAAGCAATGCCTGCAACCACCACCCGGAGAATTTACATTTGAATTATACATTCTCAAGCAGTTTACACAATGCACCTTCCTTGCCAACATCACGAGCACGGAAAGCCAGCCAGTGTCATGAAAGCCTGAGGTGGGCCTGGGAGCAGCATGGGTCCCCGGCTCCTCTCCCTGGTCAGAGCTGGATCCAGACAACACTGAAGGCACCCTCCCAGACTCACCCCATCTGGGCAGGGATGGGGTTCACTAGAGAAAACATGTTAGGGTTTTGGGGGGATTTTAATAGCCACGCTGGTCCAGAAGGACAGTTCACTGTCAGTGGAGCCCCTCACTTTCCTCCTTGGGAGCCGGGCCTTTGGAAGGCCCTCCCCTGGTCCCGAGGCCTCAGCCCACCTGCACTGGCCTTGGGGCTCGGTGTTTGGGGTCTGTGTTTGGTGTTTCTTTCTGAGGTCTGGGTCCCTGCTCCTCCGGGGAACATGCTGGCCATGTGGCTTTCTCTCCTGTCTATCCTTCCTGGTTGCACGTGTCCTTCCTGCTGCTCCTCAGCCTCGCAGCCTTGCAAGAGGCCGAAGTCATCGCCACGCCTCCGGGACCCACGGGTCAGAGCGCCTGGAGGCCAGGGCGGGGCCGGGGCGCACTTGGTCCTGCGTGTCAGGACCGGGAGCTCCTCGGCCCAGCTCCAGCTCCAGCAGCCTGTCCCCTGTGTAGCAGGAAGGGCGCCCCTTCGGGCCTGCCGTCAGTGAGGGAGCGTGGGTTTGGGGCTGCCCCGGACGCTGACAATAGGGTGCCTGTGGGGCGGGGCGGAGGCCTTCCGGTTCTTTCTGAGGAGGTTGTTGTGTCACCCTGTTACTTCTGAGTGGGCCAGGCCCCCGGAAGGACCCTCTCTCGGCCCCCTCCCCTCGGGGGCAGGGCTTTGAGACAGGCTGTGGAGTCAGCTCCGTCCCTTACGAGTCGTGTGTTTGGGGGCATGTGGCTTCCTCTCTTGGCACCTCTGACATCTGAAAACCCAGCATACTCATACCCCCCTGCCAGGCTGTCAGTAAGGGTCACAGGAGATAGAATGCTCCACACCATGCCCGGGAGAGAGCCCAACCTCTGGAGGGCATCTGGTTCCGTGTCCTGCCCTCCCCTCCCCTCCAGTGCAGCCAGAGATGGGCTCCAAGGCCGGGCCTGCGGCGTGTCAGGCCGGGGCTGGGGGTGGGCCACAGCAGAGTGTGGGGGGGTGCCAGACCAGAGCCAGGAGCCACCTGCCTCCTGTGCTCCCTCAGGGACCCTGGCCTGAGGTCCTTGGCTCTACAGCAGCCTCAGAGCTGAAGACCCAGGTCAACAGTCTCCATGTGTGCAGGACACTCCCAGGTGCCAGGTGGCTCATCCTTGCTCCAGGGTCCCACTCTGTCATAATTAGGTCCTGGGGGTCTCTCATTCACTGTGACATTCTCTGTGAGCCTGTGACCCCTGTCCCAAACACCCAAGCCAAGGAATGTCCTAGGACTGATGAAAAGCCAAACCCGCCACATGCCCTGTGACTCCTGGACCATCATGCTGTGTTGCGCCATCGAGGCAAGCCCAGCTCTGCCAGCCACAAGCTGTGTGTCAATCAAGCACTAGCTGGCACGAGAAGCCTAATTTTCAGCTGGTTCGTGTTTAATAAATTACCTCCGGCCATCTAACAGCCGAGTGGCCAGCTCAGACAACATGGGGTACGCTAGCCACTGTCCCTTATCTGAGAAGACGATGATGCTGAGACCATGGCCTAGTTTGGAGGGACGCTATTTTGACTGACTCCACCCGCGTGGCAATCCTCACAGACTCATTGCTCAGAAGACAGGCGGGGTCCTCTTGGTCTCTGCCACACATCAGTTACCTGGAAAGGGACTTCCTCCCGAGGCCAATGTCCTCTCGAGTTTGGAGAAGCAGCCCACAGGTTGGGGGGGACCAGGGCAGGGGCTGTGCGGAGGGGAGATGTCCTTTCAATCACTCAAACCCCTGTATTAAACCATCCCACACTGGGACTCATGGTGACACCTGCCACTCAAGAAAACCCCACCTGTTCCTGGATTGTGTCACTAAACATGCAACATAAATTGCCATCTCTCCTCTACCCCCTCAGCAGCCACCCCCAGCCCAAGCTGGGAAAATAAAATCCTCCTCTCTCCCTTGTGGGGGCAGCCCCCTCTGAGGCCTGTCATCACTCCAGGGAGTCAGGTAAAGTCGGGCACAGTTTGGGGGAAGGGCTGGGGAGGCAGGGGGGGGGGGGCGGGCTGGGCCGGGATCTCCCTCAGCTGAAGCTGCTTTATCTGATTCCAGGCTCCAGGATTGGACATCGCTTCCTCCTCGAGAGCAGCCAGGAGCCAGCCCGCTCTCTTCTTGGCCTGGAGGATGCTGCCTTCACACAGCGAAAGGTTCTGGCTTTCTGGATAAAGCCAAATCTGGTCCCACGCCTTGAAAACACAGAGGCCTCCAAACATCAGTGAAACAGCCGAGGCCTGGGTTGGGTCATGAAGAAAGGTGGAGGGAAGAGATCAAGATGCTGCCATTTGTTCAAAAAGTGCAAGCAGCCCCAGGCAGCGATGGAAGAGGGACAAGATGCTCGTCAAAGCCAAGGGGTGGGCGGCGGGGCAGGGGCAGGCCAGGAGCAGAGAACCGTCTCCGAATGGGGCCCAGGGTGGTGAGTGTTTGGAGGGGATTCCGTTTCTCAGAGAACACCAGGGAGCTGTCCAGGCCACAGGGAGCCTGAGGCCCACTTCCGGGCAGGACCGTGGACAGGCTAGGTGGGCCCCTGCCCCAGGTGCGGGCTTTAAGAACAGAGATTATGCCAGCAAAGGGGCTCACAGCCAGCTTCAGGCTCCACAGGCATTCCCGTCCAGCACAGAGGAAACGGCCAGACCAGTCACTTCTCCAGCCCCTGATAGACAGGAAAGGCCCCTCAGAGAGAGACCCACCCAATGGCACAAAGTCCAGTGGGGTTGGAAGCCTGGCCTTGGTCCAGTCGCACATTTTAGCGATTCCTGTGTTAGAATGAAAATGATAAGAAAATGGACATCTAAATGCCACCATTTTGGATCTCCCTTCTCTTAATTTCAGGTTGATACTTGACCTACAGTAGCCTGGACAACTTCTGTTGGTTCCTCCCTCTTCTGGGCTCTGACTCTGCAACAATCACTTACAGAGGCATCTTAAAGGGTCCCTGGTCCCTTTGTGGTGGGAGGAATCCCTCTGTGACGCCAACAATGTCACCCCAATGCACCTGTCTGCAAGAAGGATTTTCAGATAGAGGTCCACAACCCCAAAACAATTTTGTTTTTTGCAGTTCTAAAACCCCCAAAGCTCTCAAATGGTAAAGCTTTCTCCCATAACTTATACAGTGGGAAATCTAACCTGAACTGAGGTGAGGCTATTTACAGTTTTTATTGATCCCAGTTAGTCTGACTATTCACGTTTCTCTGCAGAAATAGTCACGTGCTTAACGGTGGAGAGCCGTTCCCCTCTCCGGCAGAGGGTAGGAAATGGATGCTGAATGTCTCCTATTCTCTTTCTCAGATCGCAAATTTCTGAATTCAGAGGCCCATCCGGCCCCAAGGATTTCAGAAACAGGACTGTGGACTGGAAATGGTGTTAAGTGTATTGTGGAAGGCTGCCAGCCCGTGCCCGTTCAGACCTGGGTGGGTGATTTTGTGTATGAACATCCCGCAGTGCCAGTGGTTTTGCCCCAGGGACGGAGCCACTGCTCTTCTTCCCGGGGAGACAAATGTCAAAACACCCCCAGGCCCAGAGATCTCAGTGGCAAGGAAGTGGGGGCTGCCGTAGGAGGGCAGGGCCGGGAGACACCTGTGGGGATCCGTACCCCCACAGCTGAGGGCACAGCAGGCTTTTCCACGCCGGGCTGGAGTCTGTCCCTCCTCACTCCTGCCCTTGTGCTGCCCCCAGGAGACCACTCTGGTAGGGGCGGGGGACTCAGAGGAAGTAACCACCATAGTCCTGCCTCTTGGTGAGGCCCTGCTCACAGGGGAGGGGCCCCTGCTGCCCAGCCTGGTGGCTCCAGGGTGCCCATGCCATGGGCAGGGGGCGACGCAGGGCGGGGGCGAGTCAGAGCATCCTAGCATTCCCGTCTGCATCCCACTCCCCACAGCACTTGAGCTCTTCTGGGTGCCTGCGCCTACAGGGCTTTCTGGAACAGGGGGAGGGGCTGGCAGCCCGCAGAGCCTGCTGAGAAAAGCAGATGCGTTTCCAAAATAAATAATATTTTAAAAATCCCCACTTTCCACTCCAAACCCAGGAAACGGCAGAAGAGAACGTGTAAAGGTCCCTGTGTACACCGCTGCCTGGCGCGGCCCTCATGCGGCCAGCCTGGACTTCTCGGCGGCCCCCGAGGGCTCAGAGCTGCTGCGGGACGCCCTGCTCCTTGTAGCCTGTAGGAAGAAGCAGAGGAGAGAGGGTCAGACCCTACTTCCTTCAGGAATCTCCAGGAGGTGCCCCAGATTAGAATATTCTCCTGAGACCTTATTCATACAGACGTGTAAATGACTCTGCACTCAGGGTCCAACTTCTCCCAAGGGCGTTGGCTTTTTAAGGGGAAACAAAAGGATGGAGGATTGTGGAACTTTGGGTTTCATGGGGATTTATGAGAGGAATGTATCTGCAGTGGGGGTTGGAAGGTTATCAATGGGCTCCTGAACCTACAGCCCTGAAGCCACTGCACAAAGGTGGCCCCAAACTGGCCTGGCATGATTTCCCAATGCAGAGCCTCGGGAGAAGGTGCCACAGGCTCAGCCGAGCGGTGGGCATCTGGCACGTGAGGATGGAGGCAGGAGGAAGACAGCATACGGAGCGGAGTGACCATGCATGTGCATTCAGTCAGCTGGGCATCTGTGGCACAGGCAAAGGTCACTGAGGGCTCTGAGCCTTTAAAACATTGGTGATAATTACAAGGCCACTGGGAAAAACTGACCACTGTTGATATTAAGGAATTGTTGCTAATTTATTTGGCATGAAAGGGTAGTGTGGTTCTGTTTTTTAAAAAGAGATGCCTACTGAAATATTTAAGGGTGAATTTATGAGTCTGGAATTTGCCGAGTGGTTGCCCTCTATTAACTGGTAACCTAGCCTGCAGAGGAGCTTCAGTGGGCTTAATTGGTTTTCTCTCTTATTTACCAGATTATTCGTCAATTTTAGGTGCTAATAATCCAGCGCTGGGAGTCGGGGGAGATGCAGAGAGTCACAGATGAGAGGAGAGTGGCCACAAGTTGACAATTATTGAAGCTGCTGTGGGTATTCCGGGACTCATCATGCCAGGCCTGCTACTTCTATGTTTAAACATTTTCTAAAATAAAAAGCTAAAAATAGAAGCCCAGTGACCAACTGGGGGAGGGGTGTTTGTGTGCAGTGGGGCAGCGGGCCGTGGAGGGGAGGGCCGGGGCAGCCCAGGCACGAGGCCCGTGCCTCCATCAACAGACTCACCTTGGGAGACTTTGGACCAACACAGGGATGGGAGGCAGCATGAGGAAGAGAAGAAGAGAAAAAGAGAAAACAGTCTGAAAACAGAGGCCAGAGGGACCGCCTGAAATACAAAAAGAGGGAGGATGCACAGTGGGGCCCAGGAGATAGGACAGGGCTGTGCTCACTGTCCAGAGGGACCAGCCACTGGGGCCAGGGCTCAGCCCCATCAGCTGTGTGGGTTTGGCTGCAGGAGGCCACAGTGAGGGCTCTCCTCTCCCCGGGGCCACACCCGGCCAGACACCGCCAGCAAGCCCTGCCCGATGCCCCCCCTTCCCTTCAAATCTCAGCCAACCCCACTCTTCTGCTCGCCTCCTGCCCCTCGCTCTTTTTTCACCAGCAACCCATGTTTGCCTTGAGATGAACTCCGGATGGACCTGAGGAAGGACAGCTGCAGGATGGGTTTGATTGTGACAACCTAAAGATGCTGAAGGGACCCATCCTGGCATCAGCCCGCCTCTGTCTGTGCCCTGTGGTTCCCCCTTTATATGGACAGCAGCCATATATAAAAATCCTAACGCTTTAGGATAGACCCAGGCCTGGGGATGGCAAACAGATTTTATCTTACAGACATCTTGGATCCATTGGTAGTGACTGCCTGAAGCCTTGTGTTGAGAACATTTAAGATTGTTCAGCAGAAAGTGTCATGATTGATTAGCAATGTCTGCCATGGGTGCAGCAGTGGAATGAGGCTACTGTACAACTGCCAAGTATTTATTGACCTGTGACCAAGACAGGCTGTTATGGACTATGATTTGTTATTATTAAGAGAAGTAGAGCAGGGTGCTTCTAAGGTCCTGATTTTTAACTTCTACTTTGATTTATATTTCTCTGATTACCCTCTTAGGAGTTTTTCTTGATGCTAAGATTGTTGATGACACCCAAGACAATGCCATGTGAAAAATGATTCTGTATTGTGACAACTGAAAAACTGCCTTTGTTTTTACGGGAAGAGGCTGACGTGACACCAGAAGGAACGGCCCCTTATCCGACCATGTACTAGGACAGACAAGTGAATTGTGGTTATTTCCTGCAAAGTCGTCATCCTGGGGCACACACTCCATCTGTTGTGGCTCAGAGCGATCCCAGCCCACAGCACCATCTCAAGAGTGGCAATTACTCATCCTTGAAGGGTGAGTTTACTTTCTGGAAGAAGCGCACAGGCCCCCCTTGCTGACATGGGTGAGTGAGTCTGGTGGCCAGGTGGGGTCAGCGGGTGGAGGTGAGGTGTGACAGGTTTTCTCATGCGGCCCTCAAGTCCACCCCCCAAACAATGTTCTAAAGAGTCTGATGCAAAGATGGCATCCTTGGAACCAGTCTACAGACACCCAAGGAGCTGACTGACCCACAGTGAAGGCTTGGGGGTGGGTGGGTAGGAAGGGTGAGGACAGTGCTTCTGTCACTGATGGTCCTGCAGCCCAGTGGTGGCCCCCACATCAACCGCAGAAGAGGGGCTTCTGGCTGAGTGCCCAGCCTAGGGTGATGGAAAGTGAGGAAGAGACAGGGTCCCCATCTTCACTTCTCGGGGTCTCTGTTTCCTCATCGAGGACATGGTAAGGGAAGTTCTTGAAGTCCTCTCTAAGATCCAGACCCGTGGCTCCTGGGTATCAAGGATGACTGCAGACAGGAATACCAGAAAGCTCCAGGGATGAGGTTAGGCATGGGCACACATTTACCGAGACCCAGTCTGTGACGTGAGCACCCAGGGCCTGGCCAGACATTCCATGTGATGGGGAGATGGAGCAGGAAGGGGGCGTCGGGCTGCATGGGGCAGAGATGGGGCAGCCTTCGTGGCCCTCTGTCTGCCGCAGAGGAAGCTTCCGAGAGCAGATGCACCTTCCAGCTTCCAACGGGGAACAGGGTCAGGTGCCGGCAGCCATCCCTAAGCCCCTAGGGAAGCATCAGATTCCCGCTGGGAAAGTGCCAGACTTTGCTGTTCAGGACTCACGGGATGGCTGGCAGCACTTCTTTCCTATAAGCAAAGTTCTACACCGCTCCCCCAAAATGGAAGTGGTCCCCAGACATGCGCAGAGAGCGAAGCCCCCATGAGGGAGCTGGATGGGCCTGCCTCAGTCTCTGCTGCTCGCCTCCCACTGTCCTCTCTGACGGGGCAGCCCTTGCCCTGAAAACAGCCCTCCCCAGTGGGGACAAGCATCTCCTGACTGTTTCTCCGTTTTTCCCTCCCTCAGCTGGCCCTGGCCAGGGGACCACCCTTCTCTGGCTGCCCTGTCTCCCAGCATCTGCCTGGTTTGCTCCAGCTTTGGGATGCCCTGGCAGTCCAGCTGACCCACTTCCTCCCCTGACCTCTGCCGCTGGAGTGGCTGCCTCCAGGCAGCCCGTCTGACCCATCAACCAGCTCTGCTGATCTCACTCAAGCTCTGGTCCCTGCACTTGCTCTGGTCCAGTGGCTTGACTGGTCCCCAACCTGAGGCCTTGCCTGGCCCTTGTATCTGTGTGTGCCCTGGGTCTTGGAACCTCATAGGATCCTGAACTCAGGCTGAGTCTGCTAGAGATCCTTCTAGATCATTCCAGTCCCTGAACCCAGGGCTTCTCCTCCTGCCTCTGCTGCTCTCACCCGGCACAGCTTACTTCTGGCATCGGCAATGCCACCTATGAGTGGTTTTGTTGGGCCTGGGGCACAATGAGGAGCGTGGGGTGTGAAGAGAAGGACAAAGGGCCTGAAGAGACGTGGTCACCATTAGTGAGGAACCGTGGCCTAATGAGGTGGACAGAACATGTGGAAATACAAGGACCACCCATGGGGGCCCAGGGTGACATGTATGGCTGCTTAAAAGAGGTGTCTGTTTTCAGACAGGTTATTTTTAAAAATGTTAGTCAAGTCGCCTTTCGTAAACTTGACGTCGTAGCGTTAAGTCCTCTCACAGAGCAGTTCTGCATTAAGTTTGTGTTAAATGACTGGCGGGGGTCCACTCAACGCCAGTGAGGAGGAGCCAGGCTTCAGCATCAGTGAACAAAGACTTAGCTTAAAAGAAGGCGAAATCATGCCTTCTGCCTGTAAAAACACAGCGGTGGGGCTTCCTGTGGGCAGTCAAGAAGCGGCCTTTTTCTTCTTTCTAGAAACTGCATGTTGGAGGCATAGGGGACCCGAGCTGACGTGGGCCACACCCTTGCCACAGTGTTGTTAGCTGTCCTGTTTCCTTGACAAATGTGACGCCTGATGTGTCTGAGCTGATAGGGGTCCCTCCCTCCCTTGCCCACGATCTCTGGCTCAGTCTCTGCCTGTCTGTACCCATGATCCCCTGTGGGCATCAGGGCTGGCATGTGGGGAGGGTCTCCTGTGCCAGTCGGCCATACGCACAACTGAGGAGGACACAGGTGAGCCCCCAGGGGTGGAGCAGGCCCAGCCACGTGGAGCTCTCTGTGAAGATCTCACACCCTGCAGGATCGCACATGCCCAGATCAGCCAGCCCCTGTCCCACCTCAAGCCCTGCTCCGTGCATCCCAGCCCGGCCCCAGCCCCACAGGGAATTTGAACTGGTTGCCACTCACTGGCGAGGATGACCATGTCCATGCCCCAGAAGATGCTCATAATCCAGCCCACCATGACGATGGCCGTGAGGACCTGGATGAGGGCAGCCGCGACGTTCAGCCAGAAGACGCAGCACACGTGCCTGTCCGGGAGGTCAGTGCGGGCGCCGCACAGCACGGCGAAGGCCGAGACGAACGTCCCTGTGAGAGGCGGGAGGGGACAGCCTGCTGAGGGTGCTGGAAGACACAGCGGCCGGAGTGCTCATCGCCAGCCCGGGCCCAGCTGCTTGCCCTCCAGGAGCCTGGACAGGAGCAGCCAGTGTCTGGCACCTTCCCCCTCAGACCCCTCTTGTCCCCACCCCAGCGAGGCCAACGTGCCACCTGCAGGAGGCAGGGCATGGGGCTGCCAAGGGCCCAGCACAGTCCTGGGGCCTTTGGGGGAACACAGATGTCACGTGACAAGCAGTCCCTGCCATTAAGGAGGAACAGTGCAGCCACCTGCAAGGACAACAGATGGCAGGTAGAAAGGGCACCAACTTATGTGGCAAAGACTCTAAGGGCCTAAGCATTCAGAGGGAGGAGCCAGTGTCACTGGGGTGACACAGAAGCCACCCACAGCGGTAAATTCAGGAAATGACCCCCCAGCACACACTGGTTGCTAAGAGACAGGGGCTGGGACCCCAGGAGCCTGCACAGTGGAGAGAGCACAGGCCAGGGCAGGTCTCCTGGAACCCTTCCCTGATGGGGTTCCCCCAGACACCCCAGATCTGCAAGGGGAGCAACAGGGAGCCTGAGATTTACAGAGCAGCCACAAGGCGCAGAGCAACCTGGGCAGTGTGTCCATGTTCCTTACTTCCTTGAAGACTCGCCAGAGCCCAGGGGGAACATCACTACATTTACTGACATTTTCCTCAAGCCAGGCTCTTTCCCACACAGGCTCTGAGCCTCAAAACAACCTTGCAAGGGCACAGCCCTCCCCCTAAATGTATTAGCTTCTCAGGGCTGCTGTAACAAGTTACTGTAGACTCAGTGGCTTAAACCAACACAAACACATTCTCTTACAGTTCTGGAAGTCAGAAGTCTGAAATGGGTCCTCGGGGCAGGAGGTTCTAGGGGACCATTGGTTCCTATGCCTTTTTCAGCTGCTAGAGGCTGCCTGCATTCCCTGGCCTGTGGCCCCTCCTCCACCATCAAAGCCAGCCGTGTCGCAGCTTCGCTCCTCTGACCTCTGCTTCCATCCTTGTGTCTTCTCTCTCCGACTCTGATCCTCCCGTCTTCCTCTTATAAGGACCCTTGTGATTACATTGGGCCCACCAGATAATCTGGGGTAATCCCCGCATTTTAAGATCCTTAACTTGGTCGCATCTGCAAAGTCCTTTTTACCATATAAGGTAGCACACTCACAGGTTCTGGGCATCTTGGGGAGGGTGTTATTCTGCCCACCACACTGTCTTCCACCCTGTATTAATCTTGTGTTTCTGATGCTTTGACATCGGGGGTCTTGCTGACCCTGGGGAGGCAGCCCCTCCCAGGGCTAGCTGACTCCTAAAGACAGTAAAGGACTTTCTTATGCAAACCAGCCAATCCGGAGCCCACACCCCAGCCACCTGCTTTATTGGCTTTCCCACTCCTGGCCACTATAGCCCTGCCCCAATCACCAGGTCCAGGTGCCGGATGACTAGGGACAGCCCTGAGCCCCAGAGCCCGTCCTAAGGCTGCTTGCACTGCCTTGCCGTTCCTTCCCACGGAAACCACAGTAAAGGCTCCTGCCCACATTCCGCCCTCACGCCCTCTGCCTCTTGACTGTCCCTGGAGCTTCCTCAGTGCCCCCCATGGTATGGTGTGCCCCCTCCTCTTAGGAACTGTGAGTAACAAGCTCTCTTTTCAACTGCCATTGTCTTCCTGATCCATTGGCCTCACCATACCTAAATAATAATAAAACCTACATTTTAAGGTACGCGCACACACACACACACAGACTCAAGAATTAAGCACCTTGTCCAGGGTCACAATCACAGGTGGGCATTGAACCCAACGCTGTCTGATGCCGATGGCCATGCTCCTGGCGCCCCACACAGCCTCACAGGTGGAGATGACCTGCTAAACCAGGTGCAGGTGAGAAAGCAGGCCATTGGGAAACCGGCCAACAGACCAAGGACCATTCTCACATTTCTCACAGTTCCTGCTTCTGGAGGAAGCTGCCTGGGCATCAATGTTCCTTCCTCTCTGCACTCTGGCTCCTGGCCCTTCCCAGCCCAAACTTGGTGGCTCCCGCTGGCTTCCTGACCCAGAAGTGGCCTTCCCTTCGGTCCACACCCTTGCACCACAGATCCAAGGCTGACCCCTGAGTCTGCCTATTTCTGATACCCACCCTGCCCCATCCTCTCCGTCATCTTAGCAACTGCCGCCGACATGTTTTTCTGCCTCCTGAGTGGCTGACAGCATCTCTGAGGTCCCAGGCGGCATCCCATCCCCCTTTCTGCCCCCTGCCTCCAGCACAGTGCAGTGTATACACAGTAGGTGGCCTGTGGAAATCCAAAGAAATGCAAGCAGTGTTAAGTGCATCCTCAGACCACCTGTGTCATCACCTGTGGAATTTGTTTAAAATGCAGATGCCTGGGTCCCACTTGAGATCTGACTGTCTGAGTGGTGGCCCCAGAATCTGAATTTCCAAGCAAGTTTCTCCCTTCACTCAAATAGTGATAATACTCACTAAAGTGTGAGAGCCACAGAGTCAAGATCAATCAACTGACTAACCAGCCATTCTGTGTTCCTGGCACAGAGCCCAGGGTGGCCCTATGGGAGATGGGGGCAGGGGAAGACCATTCTCCCATTCTCACCAAATGGACATCCAGCCAGGCGTACAGAGCGTTTGCTGGACCCTCCTTCCTGGTGGATGAGGCTGGGCTGCAACACTTGAGTCTCGCAGTGGCTCATTCAAAAACCTGACTCAGCTCCTGCCCTCCAGGGCACCCCGAGTAGCAAGGGAGCTCATTATCACCACCTGACAGAGGAGGAAGCGGGCAGGGAGCTTGCCCAGGTTTGCAGAGGTGCAGGTGAGGGAGCTGGCACTTGAACCTCAGCCTCCTGCCAGGGGGAGGAGGAGGGCAGGGGTGCAGTGAAGGCAGGAGTGGTGACACGAAGGAGGGGATGGGGACGAGGTGGAGGGCTCGGAATGCCTGGATAAGGGGTTTCCCCCAATCTGTAGGACACGGGGCTCTGACGAAGAGTTTTGAACAGGAGACTGATATGATGGAAGCAGCAACTTAAGAAAGTTAATTTGTCAGCAAGGTGCAGGGTGGATTGAAAGTGTCCGAGATGAAAAAGACAAACTCGCGGAGAGCAGCGGCTGAGAAGTGATGGGGACAAGGACTCAGGGCTTGGTAGTAGACACAGGAGGAAACAGAGGACTTAGGGACCATTAGGAAGTGGGTGCCACCATCCTTTGCCTCTGCTAACATATCACGCATGTGGGATACGAGATGAACGTGAGCTGATGCCATTAAAAAAGAGAACACTACTGAAGAAGGAAGATGGTAAAAGATGAACAGGACCAAGCGGGGAAAATATTAATTTATTTTTTTATTTTTATTTTTTAAAAAATTCTTCTCCCCAAAGCTCCCCCAACCCGGGTACATAGTTGCATATTCTAGTTGTGAGTGCCTCTGGTTGTGCTATGTGGGATGCCGCCTCAGCATGGCCTAATGAGCAGTGCCACGTCCGCTCCCAGGATCTGAACCAGCAAAAACCCTGGGCCGCCGAAGCGGAGCGCGCAAACTTAACCACTCGGCCACGGGGCTGGCCCCAATATTAATTTTAATTAATTAAAATAATTTCAATTATTTAATTCTAATTTAATTATTTTATTTAATTAATAATTGTTAGCTAATAATTATTAATTAAATAAAATAAAAATTAATTAAAATTAAATTCAGTAAAAATAATTAATAACACAGATGCCATTTCCCACACATCTACAGTGTGCTACACTGTACTACCCTCTCTCTGCCTACATCACCTCTAATTCTTACATCCATTGAGGGTGGTTATTATCATCCCCATTTTACAGATGGAGAAACCAAAGCTCAGACAGGATAAGTGACTTGCCCACATAGCAGAGCCCATATTACAACCCAGATCTCTCTAATTTAGAAGACTGAGTTCTTTTCAGCCTAGGATGTTCCATCGTTACATTAAAAAATAAGGAAAGTTGGTAGAGCCGCTGTGGAAAACAGTATGGCCATTCCTCAAAAAATTAAAAATAGAATTACCATATCATCCAGCAATTCCACTTCTAGGTGTATACCCAAAGGAATTGAAAGCAGGGTCTCAAAGAGATACTTGTACACCCATGTTCATAGCAGCATTATTCTCAATAGCAGAGGCAACCCAAGCGTCTATAGATGGATGAATAGATAAGCAAAATGTGGTCTATCCATACAATGGAATATTATTCAGCCTTATAAAGGAAGGAAAATTTGCCACAGGCTACAACACAGATGAACCTTGTGGGCATTATGCTAATCGAAATAAACCTGTCACAAAAAGGCAAATATTGTATGATTCTAATTATATGAGGAACTTAGAGGGGTCAAATTCATAGAGACAGAAAGTAGACCAGTGGTTTCCAGGGGCTGGGGGAGGGGGAAGTGGGGAGTGATTGTTAAAGGGGACAGAGTTCCAGCTGGGGAAGACGAAAAGTTCTGGAGGTGGCTGGCGGTGATGGCTGCACAACACTGTGAATGTGCTTGATGCCACCGAACTGTATACTTAAGAATGGTAAAGATGGTAAATTTCAGGCTATATGTATTTTACCACAATAGAAAGAATTGAAAAAAAAAAAAAAAAAGAAGGAAAGAAACTTCATCCTTAATGATTTTCAAAACACCTGGAACCTCTCCACTCTCCCCTGCCCCGGCCAGCGGCCTGCACAGCAGATGGCACCCTGACCTGTGGCCCGCAGCGTCCTGACTCCATGGGATCTGGCTGCGATCCTGCGACCCTCTGTCTCTTGGTAGCTGTGGCCTCGCCTCAGTCTTCCCGCCTAGGAAACGGGAACATGTTTTTATCAGACTGAAACATGAAATTTTCACTTTGGCAGGTGAAGAAGAGTTGTATAGCAGCGATTTCATACAGCTCAGCCCAATATCCATATGAGAATTTTGAGCATAAGGGACTCAGACAGTCTTAGAGTTAGAAGC